CGGCATCGGGAAGATGACGGCGTTGGAGCTGGCGCGCCGGGGAGCGCGCGTGGTGCTGGCCTGCCGCAGCCGGGAGCGCGGGGAGGCGGCCGCCTTCGACCTCCGCCAGGTGAGGGAAGGCGGGGGCGGGCGGGAAGGTTAGCCGCGGACACATCGGGACACAGAGGTGGAGAGGTGAGCCTAGCGGCTTGGGGGCTCCAGTTCCCGAGAGGAGAATGCAGCTTGGTTCGTTCAGCGCAGAAGAGGGATTGCACAGAGTGCTCTGGTGACGAGGCAAGGGGCACCAGCACCAAGTTGGGGAGGGTGCTTCCTGAAGGAAGTCATTGCTATTCTTTTTTTTTTTTTTTTAAGATAACCGGTAAGAGGATCTTAACCCTTGACTTGGTGTTGTCAGTACCACGCTCTCCAAAGTAAGCCACAGGCAGGCCCTAGTAACTGCTATTCTAAGACTTTTAAGGATAAGTAGAAATTAGGTTAATGAAGAACAGTAGGGAAGGGAACAGAAGGAACACAAATGGAAAGGCCCTAAGGCAAGAGGGCAGGTCTGGCTTGAGAAACTGAAAGAAAGGTTTAATGAGGCTGGAGCACAAATTATGAGGAAAGGGGCAAAAGGAAGGGACTGGAGGCTCTCAGCCAGGGCTAGGTTTTGGAGGCCTGTATAGATCCTGTTTAGGAACTTGGATTTTATAGGATGGGCAGCAGAGATCAGTGAATGATCCTCAGCAAGCTCTGGACTGTCAGAATAGCCTTTTTCAATGAACCCCTGTGTAGTGCCTGGACAGGTAGGTGCGAGAGTGGGTGAGAGACCAATGAGAAGTCTGCTATAGATTTGGGGTAAGTGATAATGGGGAGAGGAATGGTAATAATAATAATGGCAAGTACCTACACGTCCTGTGTGTATTTTACATGTATTAACATTTAATTCTTTTTTTTTTTTTTTTTAAAGATGACCGGTAAGGGGATCTTAACCCTTGTACTGGTGTTGTCAGCACCACGCTCACCCAGTGAGCAAACCGGCCATCCCTATATGGGATCCGAACCCATGGCCTTGGTGTTATCAGCACTGCACTCTCCCGAGTGAGCCACAGGCCAACCCCTTAACATTTAATTCTTACCACAATAATAATACTATAGGTGCTATTTTATTCCCCTTTTACAGTGAAGAAACTGAGGCCCAGAGAGATTAAGTATCTTGCTCAAGGTCACACTCTAGTAAGGCAAAAATCAGAATTTGAATCTACACACTTATCCACTATACTCTAATGCATAGGGGCAGATTTTAGTAATAGTAGGAGGTAGGCTGAGAATTTGGTGCCTGGGGAGAGGGAAAAGGAGGGAGGTGCCTAGTGACAAGTTCAGCCCTTGCCACTCCACAGGAGAGTGGGAACAATGAGGTCATCTTCATGGCCTTGGACCTGGCCAATCTGGCCTCGGTGCGGGCCTTTGCCACCGCCTTCCTGAGCTCTGAGCCACGGCTGGACATCCTCATCCACAATGCCGGTGAGGGGCAGCAGGCCCTGCAGGGGGGCAGTGGGTGGTCAGGGGCAATTGCCCCTCCTGCTGGGGCCAGTGAACACACGGGAAGGATACCCCCTACTCCCATCTCACAGATGGGGATGATGAGGCCTTGGGGGTCCTTCTGGAGCAGCTGCTTACACCTAGCCCCTGCCCCAGGGATCAGTTCCTGTGGCCGGACCCGTGAGGCCTTTAACCTGCTGCTGCGGGTGAACCACGTTGGTCCCTTCCTGCTGACACATCTGCTGCTGCCCCGCCTGAAGACATGCACCCCTAGCCGTGTGGTGGTGGTGTCCTCAGCTGCCCACCGGCGTGGGCGCCTCGACTTCACATGCCTGGACCGCCCAGTGGTGGGCTGGCGGCAGGAGCTGCGGGCATATGCCGACAGTAAGCTGGCCAATGTATTGTTTGCCAGGGAGCTCGCTGCCCAGCTTGAGGGCACTGGCGTCACCTGCTATGCAGCCCACCCAGGTGAGGCCTAGTACTTTGGCTGCTCCTGATCCCCTTCTCTCCTTGTCCTGTCCTGTGTTCCCCCAGCCTCTGAGTCACAGAGTTTCAGAACAGGAAGGAAGCAGGGTACAAGAAGAAGCCTGTTCCTTGCTGATCTTGGAACCAGGCGGTCCTCATCTGGGTTCTTCCTTTCACACCGCAAGCTTGGAAGCTGACCACTGGGTGGGTGGGTATGGCAATGAGTAAGACCCGGGTTCTCACCCCAAGAGCCATCTATACTGACTGAACTGTCTATAATATGATGATGATGATAATGATAGCTAATAATTATTCATTCATTCGAGAGGCATTTACTGAGTACCTACTATGTATCAGGCATAGTAGGGGATATAGCAGTGAACAAAACAAAGACCCTACCCTTATAAAGTTTGCATTCTAGTTTGAGGGAGGGGAAGACAGCCAATAAACAAATATATGCAATACAAGTGGTGATAAAGAGCTATGGGGAAAGATAAAACAGGGCAAAGGGAATATGGAATGCCAGGAGGTGCTATTTTATCAATGGCAATCAAAGAAGACATATCTGAAAAGGTGACATTTGAACAGAGGCCTGAAGGAGATAAGGAGTGAGCCATGTATCATTATGGGAAGAGGCCCAGAAAGAGATCAGAGCAAATAGCAAGTGCAAAGGCCCTAAAGCAGAAGTTCCTGGCGTGCTTGAGGAACGCTAGTGTAGCTGGAACACAGAGATGAGGTCATAGAGATGGGCTGGGTCAAGAGGTCCACTGTTAGCATTTTGGCTTCTACTCTGAGTGAGATCACTGGTGAATAGACTCGCCCTTGCCTTTAAGGAATAGGTTACACCAGGATAACAAGATCTGCCCTACCCATATTACCATACTGCACTTTAGACAGTCATCGCCTAAGGCTCATTAGTAATTATAATAGTGACAATAATCATAATCACAACTAACCTTTTTATTAATCCTTTATTACATTCCATATCCCTAATGTCCCAAACAGTGGCTGGTACACCATAGGTGCTTAATAAATGCTGGTTAAACAGAGGAACAGGGTTCGAGCAAGAAGAAAAGACGCAGAGAGAATTGTTTCAGGCAGGGAACCAAAGTCTGGGAGATGGGGATTTACAAGCAGTTTGGATGCAGGGGAGGAGGCTTCCTGTAGGAAATGAGTGAAGTCATCTTGTGGGGGTCCTGAATGCCTGGTAAATACCACCCTGGTTTCCCAGGACCTAGGTTCTGTGCTCCAATCCCCTTTAGCTGTTTCTGCTGCTTGTAACCTGTGCCCTCACCCACCTTACTCCCCAACTACTTTATTTCTTCCTGCCCACAGGGCCTGTGAACTCGGAGCTGTTCCTGCGCCATGTTCCTGGTTGGCTGCACCCACTTTTGCGCCCAGTGGCTTGGCTGGTGCTCCGGGCACCAAGAGGGGGTGCCCAGACACCCCTGTACTGTGCTCTGCAGGAGGGCATCGAGCCCCTCAGTGGAAGATATTTTTCCAACTGCCGTGTGGAAGAGGTGCCCCCAGCTGCCCGAGATGACCGGGCAGCCCACCGGCTGTGGGAGGCCAGCAAGAGGCTGGCGGGGCTTGGGCCTGGGAAGGATGCTCAGCTGGATGAAGACCCCCAGCCTGAGGACACAGAGGCCCCATCTTTTCTGAGTACCCCCTATCCCGAGGAGCCCACAATCTCCGAACACCACCCTGACCCTGAGAGCGTAAAAGACTTGTCTAAGGTGACACACCGAAGTCAGGTTAAAGCTAAGCCTGAGACCCAAGGCTTTTAACCCCAGGCTGGGGTGCTTTCCATGGGGTATGATGGCCCTTGAAAACCGCAGCTGTATGCCAGGCCATGCCCTGGGCACTGAGGGGTTTGCGATTTTTACCTCCATAGTTACTTTCTGGGGCTTCAAGGACAGCTGTTTTCCTGGTGGAAGGAAATGGGTGATTATTTCTAGCTAAGAGTGGCAGTCACCCCAGGTTGAGGGGTGGGAAATAATGTCAGGCACTGCTTCCCAGGAATTTGAATTTCCGTTTTCCGGGCCCCACTCTCGGTGATTCCGATCAGCTCTGGGGCTTGGAATTTGTAAACTTGATGCACTGCCAACATCGAGAATTACCGAACCGAGCCCTTTGCACCCATTTAGCTAGCTCGTTAAATCACCCCCATTTTACAGAAGCGGGATTGGGCTCCAGAGGCAAGGGACACTCGCCCAAGGTCTCACAGCTGGTAAAAGCAGGGACTGGGATTTGAATCCAGGGGTCTGACGCCAGGGCCGACTGCGGTAAGGTGGGTGCTGGGCGGTGAGGTGGGGCACGGCAGTTATCGAGGACCCCCGTGAGAGTCCTTGCAATAAAGCGTGCCTCCTGCCAGGCTCGCGCCGCTCCTGCCTCTCGCGCCGCGCCGGCCCCGCCCTCCGCCGCCACACTTCCGGCGGGGCTGCGACCACAAAGGGGCGCGGGCT